CTCAGCCAGAGAAATCGAGAAAGAAAAAAGAAAAAAAGAAAAGGGTCGTGGTTAGTTTCTAGTACTTTCTACACATGGACGAGATGATGGGCATCTCTGCAGTACACAGCACTCCACATGCATGTGGCCTCTTTTTCTGGACCAGCGTCTTTCGGATGAGTCCAAGTGCATGTCGCCGCTTTTTCTGGACCAGCTTCTTTCGGATGAGTCCAACATTTTGAAAGCGCCGGGTTGAGAAAGCGTCTAAAATTCTAAATGCATGTAGAGTGCTGTGTAGTGCAGCGAGGCCCGCATCGTCGAATGGGAATGAATGCGCTGCGGGATGGAGCGCCACGAGTCTCGGGACGTGGACGCAGCACGGGCCAAATGTGCAAATGTACTTCCCGCTAGAACGTGCAAAAAGTACGCCCACCAGGCTTGTAACGGTTTCACATTTGGTGAGTGGTGCGGCGTGGCCCGTCTCCAGTGTACGGTAGTGTGACCAAAGCGGGGCTGCAGAGGGTGGTGGTCGTCGAATAGTCTGCGAGGAAGAGCTATCGTAGATCAAGAAACAATAGGAGGGGGGGCATGATCTAGTAGCTTCCAATCTATGGCATGACATGGCACCATCATTTTTGTTTTTAATATTTTTTAAACGTGGCACCATCCTAATAACCGGGTGTTCCCTTGTTATAAAAAATGAAAATATCAAAAGGAGGTGGGGGGAGAAAGGCAGGTAAGCTGATGCCGGTGAGAGAGGAGATTCCTTCCATGGTCGCATCTGCAGTACAGAATAGAGTACCCAGATACGTTATTCCCGTTTAGGGCCTCCCCGCACCACTCTTGAAATGGGGGAATGGGTCTCGCTCCACTACTCTAGACTCTCGAAGATTTTCGAGAGTGAGTCTAGAGCTGTCAGACTCTAGAAATGACTGAAAAAGAGAACATCGCTCCACTTACTCTAGAAGGTCAAACTCAAGAAGGCCTCTCGGATGTCAGACCGCTCTTTGAGAGAGCTACACGACATGGCCAGCACGTTGTTGTCCGCCCAGACTCCAGGTGCACTCCATAAAAATGCTCAACTTTTGAAGGTCCTGGATGCCTCCCTTGAAATTCCTGCTGCTGCAGGCGGGAGCTCTCGAATCGTCAAAAGTGCCACGGGAGAGGAGGTTCTGACAACTCAAGAAATGCATTTTTTCGTGAGTGTGTTTCATGAGGTAGTGGAGCGACGACGGATTCTCGCCATTTTCGTGAGTAGCTACTGACAGCTCAAGAACCCAAATTCCAGACCTGGCGTCTAGAGTAAGGGCGTCGTTCGACACACCTCAGCGCGTCCTCGGGCTCCGAGGACGAATCCTTGGAGTAATTTTTGATTTTCAGAGGTGTCGTTCCACCTGTCCTCGGAGAATTGCCCCGAGGACGAATCCTCGGGGCCATCCCGCGGCCAGTTTAATTAGATTATACACAGCCGCGAGAGGAATGTCCGGCCTCCGATTCGGGATGTCCGTGTAGCAGTCGTGGTGGGCCAAAACGCGGACGGCGGGAAGATGTCACGGGCCCTTGGGAAAAAACTCGCCAACGCGGGAAAATCCCCTTTCGAAATTCGAATTTTGAATTTTGATGTTGCGGAGCGACGTGGTGGCGGCGCACAGGCGGGTCGGCCAGGGGGCAGCCTACGCCGCGCAGGGTTTTGTTTGCCATCGCGTTGCGTATTTCAGCGGCACCGCACCGCCACTGCGTCAAGTGTGGTCGACGCGACGAAACGAAGACGTCCAGTAGGCAGTCGCGTTCGCCACGTGCAAGCGCCGCGGCGGTGGGTGGACGCTCCAATTGGAATTGCGTCGTTGGGCCGGGCTGTCTTCCTGACGTAGTTGCAGGCGTCTTCAACCGTGGCGGCATACGTGCACAGAGGTGGGCGGCGGTGGACGTCGTTTTTTGTCTACGAGGGACGTGATGGACGGCTGCGATGGCAATGGACCTGCTGTGCTGTCGACGACGGAGAAGACAGTTGTCGCGGCGGCTGCGGTTGCCATTGTCCGTCGTTTTCAAATCGAGAGTGCGGCCGGGCGCATGAAGGCAGCGCTTTCGAGGCAGCGGCAGAGGCTACTGCTGCAAAGGGTGTTGGACGCCCCGAACTGCATCATCACATCCCAAGCCGTGGTTCAGTTGTGTGCTGCTATCGGGTGCGGTTTGCTTCCTCGGGCGACGCCACGTTGGTGGATGCGGCGGAGAGCTGGCAGGACTTGGGAGGATTTACGGGTTTGCGATGACGCGACAGAGGACTACTTTTGGGAAAAGCTCCACATGTCGAGGAGAGTGTTCATGGAGATCAGCGAAGCATGTACGCCTCACATGCAGCGGCCGGTGACGTTTTACAGGGAGCCACTACAGCCGGAGCAGATCGTCGCATACGCGCTGTATAGGTGGGCCACAGGAGAGTCTTACGATAACAGCACATCATCCTTCGACATGGGCAGGACTTCCGAAGTTCGAGCCATGCGCGATGTGACAGCCACCATTTTGAGGGTGTACGGGGAGAAGATATCGTGGCCGACGGGGGTGCGGAAACAAGTCGTGCTACGGGCTTTTCTGGACAAGGGCTTTCCAAATTGCCATGACGCAGTTGAATGCACACACATCTACGTGGACAAACCGGCGAGCGCGCCTAGCGAGAACTACTTCGACCGCAAGCACCGTTTTTCCGTCATTGCGCAGGTTGTGGTGGACCTGAATCTGCACGTCCTTGATGTGTTCGTGGGATATCCGGGTAGTTGCCACGACATTAGGGTGATCCAGCTGTCAAGTATGTCGAGGAGCGCGGAAGAGGGATTGCTGTTTCGGTGGCCGCCTGTTACGCTGCCGGGAGGGGTGACGACGAACGGATACATCTTGGGCGACAACGGGTATCCTCCTTCTGAGTGGGTGGTGGTGCCGTACGAAGGAATCAATCAGCACCCAGACGAGGAAAGGTTCGACACGAAACAGAAGGTCGCAAGAGGGGCCGTAGAGAGGGCGTTCGGGAGGTTGAAAGGGATGTGGAGGCTCTTCCTGCGGACGCACAAGACGAACTTCGAGAGTCTGCCACAGCAGTTCACGATAGTATGCATTCTCCACAACATCCTGCTCGATGCAGGAATCGAGTTCGACAAGAATTTGTTGTGGGAGGTCGACGCGAACGGGGTGAGGCGGCGAGTGGATCTGGGGATTCATCGCCCCCGCAGCCAGTGTCCATGTTGACTTTGACGCGCGAGGCTCATGCGCTCCGCAATGCACTGGTGCAGCGGATGAAACACGTTTGATCCACCCAACCGCCTACCTGTTCGTCCCGTTGAAGTCGTGTCCCGCCATAGTCGGCCGACAACTCTTTCGTCTTTCCCTCACACGCGCGATCGCCAGTGAGGGTCTGCTGTTGCGGTCGGATTCTTTTCAGGTGTTTGTTCTTGTATTCGACGACACTGTATAGGTACAGTCCGTCGTGCAGCGGGAGTGCGACGGGATCGCTGCTGTAGTACTCGTCCTCTGCATTGGTCTTTTCGTATTTCGACTCTTCATTGTCGTCGTGGCCGAGAAGTTGGTTTTCCCTCGCAATGACGTGAAGTCGTCGATGGATTCGGTCCTTGTCTGATGGGGGTTGGGGGGGGGGGGGGG